CCCTCCGGGCCTTCAGCCCTCTGATTTTCTCTTCCCCCATCACAATCCACTAAGCCAGAAAACTGAGCCACCAGGCTTCCTCTTCCCTCCTTAAAGGTCTTCAAGCTTTTTGGTCACTTGTTTTCTTAAGGCATTTTTCAAAATACTGTATAGATACTCACATATTTTTTCTTAAGTCGCATTTTTGAAGTAGCTGAAAGGATATAATGTTTGCATGTCATGAATATTGACATCTTCAAATAGTTTCTTCGCTCTGAAATCTTCACTGGAGAATATCAATACCATAATAGTTTGTTTTCCACCATCATCTATTTTTAAAAAGCCATGAACAATAGGATGGAAATTTTACGTGGTCCTCTTTGCCAATAAAATCTTCAAATATATACGCTTTAAATTTATTTCAGTAATCTCTACACCCACTGCAGGACTCGAACTCACAACCCTGAGATCAAGAGTCCTGTGCTCAAGAGTCCTGAGATCAAGGGTCCTGACTGAGCTGGTCAGGAACCCCTAAAAATAAAATCTTTTTTAAAACAAAAGAAAGGGGAGAAGTGTGACTCTCCTTTGGAGAGGGACAGAGGGACTACTGACTGGGCAGAGGGCAGTGGGAAGGAAAATCTGGCAAGAAAGGTATAAAAGGAAGCAGAGGAGGGATGCCTGGGTGGCTCAGTGGTTGAGCATCTGCCTTCAGCTCAGGGTGCGATCCAGGGGTCCTGGGATCAAGTCCCGCATCGGGCTCCCTGCATGGAGCCTGCTTCTCCCTCTGCCTATATCTCTGCTTCTCTCTGTGTCTCTCATGAATAAATAAATAAAACCTTAAAAAAAAAAAAAAAAGGAAGCATAGAAGCTGTAAATGGATTCCCTTAAACTCTCTTTGGGCTCCCTAGGGGCACCTGCACCCTGGCTCGAAGCCTGCTATTCTAAATCATGTCTCCCTTTCCCACAAGGGCTCAAAGCCTCACACGTGACCCTGTTATCAGAGAAGGAAGGAGAAGGCTTTCTATACTTTGCAAGGAATTCTATTATCTATGTCCTCCAGGCTGGGCTCTGGATATTGGGCTACGGAGAGTCTTGTTCTAGGGCCAATTATTTTTACACATTGGTTTACTATCCCCCAAACACACACACACATACTTGCACATACACAGAATTATGCTTACACAAGCATAATCTATTTCAAAAGGATACACGAGAAACCAGGAATGGTGAATGACTGGTCAGAGGGTCTTTGACTTTTATTTATTTTTCATTCATTTACTTTTTTTTAAAGATTTTCTTTTTAGTGATCTCTATACCCAATGTGGGGACAAACTTACAACCCTGAGATTAAGAGTTGCATGCTCTGCTCCAACGACTGAGCCAGCCAGGTGCCCCTAAGACTTTTATTTTTAATTATACAACATTCTATTACAGTTTGAATATTTTCCACATACATGAAGGACTTTTTCAGTGACAAAAGAAAAGTCAGCTTACACCTAGGCATATCATACAAAGAGCTTTGTTTCCCTTTTGTACTAATGTAATACATACATGGTGTGATAGTTAATTTTGTGTGTCAACTTGACTGGGCCACCGGGTGCCCAGATATCTGTATTATTCTGAGTGTCTCTGTGAGCATGTTTTAGATGCAATTAACACTTAATCAGTAGATTGAATAAAGTGGATTGCCTCCACAACGTTGTGGGCCACAACCAATCAGTTGATGGTCCAGATAAAGTAAAAAACTGACTCACTCCTGAATAAGAGAGAATGCTCCTGCCCGATGGCCTTTGAGCTAAGACATCACCTTCTCCTGGGTCTACCACAGCCTGCTGGCCTCTGGACTTGAACAAGGACATTGGCTCTGCAGATTTCGGGTTTGCCAACCTCCAATATAGTGTCAGCCAAGTCCTTATATAAAGAGATCATATACATATACTATAATATAGTAATACACACACATCTCCTATTAATTCTGTTCCTTTGGAGAATCCTAATACACAGAGTATACTTTTTTCATTATATATATATTTTTAAAGATTTTATTTATTTATTTATTCATGAGAAACAGAGAGAGAAAGAGAGAGAGGCAGAGACACAGGCAGAGGGAGAAGCAGGCTCCATGCAGGGAGCCTGACATGGGACTCGATTCCGGGTCCCCAGGATCCCACCCTGGGCTGAAGGTGGCACTAAACCACTGAGCCACCGGGGCTGACCTCATTATATTTTTTAAATGTTTTTATCTTTTCCACCCTGCTTTGACACGTAATTTATATACCCTATAATTCACCCCATTTTAAGTGTATAATTCTATGAGTGTGGGCAATTGTATCCAGGTGTGTAACCACCACCGCTATTGATTAAATATTTTGTTTACATGCACATAACTTAAAAATCAAACAAAGCTATCTATCAGTCATGATTCATTTTGGCTATGAGTGACAGCAATGCAAAATGACAGAGACATAATAACCTAGAGGAAGGAGTGAACTGATATGGGGCAAGTCACAGTATCTACCCTGGAGGGTCAACATTTCAAGCAAAAAAGGTAATCGCTCAATTCACCTGCTCCTAAAGCTCATTTTGGCAGTTTTCTCTTCCTAGGAGCTTGGATATTTAATTAGCTGAAAGTATAATATAGGTTATCAGACTTTAGAGATGCCCTACAATGATCCCAAAAAGCACACTTAATGTCTGACAATGAAAAACATCCCATCTTGTGTCTTACAAGAGATTTTCGAATGTACCCATATCCTGCATTAATGTAATTTTTTGTTATAGAAAAATTTGACATTAGTTTTGTAATTTATTAGATTATTATTCACTGAATTTTCTATGGGCCTAGGCTTCTAGGCCATCGCCATACACACATGACTTTGCATTTTGCAAGTGAGATAGTCTAACCGTCAAATTGCTTTCTATATTTAGGGGCATTTTTACGAAGACTGAATTTCACGATTTTTTTTAGGATTTTATTTATTTATGAGAGACACACAGAGAGAGGCAGAGACATAGGCAGAGGGAGAAGCAGGCTCCATGCAGGAAGCCCGATGCAGGACTCAATCCCAGGACTCTGGGATCATGCCCCGAGCCAAAGGCAGACGCTCAACCACTGAGACACCTAGGCATCCCTGAATTTCACGACTAATAATGCTAATATAATATTAGGTCTTGTAGCCATATTAATTTTTATTTTATGTTTTTCTTTTTGTATTTTGGAGTCAATATATTTGCCTTTTTTCTCTTACGATCTCAAACAGGATCAGAAGAAGTCTATACACCCCAAACACTACACACGTGTATAACAAATATATTTGGTTGCAAGTAACAGGCAGCCCAACATACAGTAGCCTAAACAAAAGAGAATTATTTTTCTCCCAAGACAAGAAGTTAGGAGGTGGGGACGCCTGGGTGGCTCAGTAGTTGAGTGGCTGCCTTTGGCTCAGGGCATGATCCCAGGGTCCTGGGATCGAGTCCCACATCAGGCTCCCCGCAGGGAGCCTGCTTCTCCCTCTGCCTGCGTCTCTGCCTCTCTGTGTCTCTCATGAATAAATAAATAAATCTTAAAAAAAAAAAATAGAAGGTGGTGATCCAAGGCTGGTGTCCAGCAATGTCTCTTGTTCCTTCTACTTTCCTGCTTCCCCATCTTGAGTACACTGGTTTTCATCTCCCTACAGCCATCACATCCATGTTCCAGACAAGAACAAAGGGGGAAGAAAAAAGGCCTTGTTCATTGCATTTGTCCCTGTTTATGTTTGGGAAGGGGAATATAATCTTCTCCAGTGTCCCCTCTGCAGACTTCCTCTTACACAGCGTCAAAGGGAAAAGGGTTGGAAAAGTTCATCTTTAGCTCTGGTCTCCAGGCAAGAGAGAAGAGTTTTAAGCAGATATTAAGGGAGCCCACTTGTGCCACAGAAGCTATAGGAGCCATGGCACAAAACAACCTGAATGATGAAATCTGGCACCAGAAAAAAATGATCGCTGCTTTTGTAACTAATGAGCAACTTGTTCTTCTTCAACTTCTAAGCCTCTAGGAAAATGGTTTCTGCAACTGGAGTACCCAATAGCTTTCCACTATGGGTGCGAACATTCCCATCCTAATCCAGCGCTTCACAAACTTCCATGTTCAGCAGCATCACCTGGAGGCCTTGTTAAAACACAGATGCTGAGTCCACCCAGTAGATCAATAGACCAAATAGAAATGCGTTTGCATTTCTAACAAATTCTCAGGTGCTGCAACTGATCTTAAAAACTCATTTTGGGAGCAGCCCAGGTGGCTCAGCAGTTTGGCGCCGCCTTCGGCCCAGGGCATGATCCTGGAGACCTGGGATAGAGTCCCACGTCGGGCTCCCTGCATGGAGCCTGCTTCTCCCTCTGCCTGTGTCTCTGTCTCTCATGAATGAATTTTAAAAAATAATAAAAACACATTTTGATGGGGCACCTGAGTGGTGGCTCCATTGGTTAAGTGTCTGCCTTGGGCTCAGGTCATGACCCCAGGGTCCTAGGATGGAGCCCCACATCCAGGTCCCAGGTCAGCGGGGAGCACGCTTCTCCCTCTGCCCCCTGCTCATGCTCTCTCTCTCTCTCTCTCTCTCACTCTGCATCAAATAAATAAAATCTTAAATACACACACACACACACACACACACATTTTGAGGGGCACCTGGGTGGCTCAGTCAGTTGAGTATCTGCCTTTGGCTCAGGCCATGGTGTCGGGGTCCTGGGATGGGGCCCCACATTGGGCTCCCTGCTCAGTGGGGCGACTGCTTCTCCCTCTCCCCCCCCACTTGTGCATTCTCTCTAACGCATAAATAAAATCTTTAAAAAAATTTTTTGAAAACCACTGTTCATGCCAGTCTCTTATGTTCACTGACACATGTACCATTTTCAATCTTTTGTCCCTCCTCCCAAAACTGTCAAGAACTACCTCATTGTCACGGTGAAAAATGGGAGAAGGGCACTGCAGGCAGGGGAACCGGAGGTATGGAGGGCCTGCCCTGGGCAGCTGTCGTTTCGCTTACCAGCAGCCCTGTTCCTTCTTCAGGAAACAGCACCTCGGTTTCCATCTGGGGAAGTCCCCGATCGCTGTCCTTGAGTTTTCCGTGGGGCGGGTCCTGCCTCCTGTGTTGGTGGGAAGATGGGAGGCACGAGACCCAGGATTGCCTCATCAGTGTGTCCCGCATCAGCGGCCAGGGCGATTGGTTCGGGGATGGTCACTTGACCTCAGCTGATTGAGGAGTGTTATCCAGAGGGCCTCATCTAGAGCAGCTGGGAGGAAGTGAGAATATTCTTTCCATGACAGTAGCTAATTAGGACACAAGATTAGAGACAACCTCACTTCCCATTACGAGACGGAGAACCAAGATAGGATAGCAGAGACTAGAGCCATCCCCTCCTCATTCCAGCCTTCTCTGGACTTCTCAGGTGCATGAGCCAATGTGCTCCTAGACGGATAGGCCAATATGAACGGGTTTTCTGTCTCTTGTAACCGAAAGTTTCTGACTCACCCAGGATAAAACTGGAGAGGGCTTGGTACAACTTTGAGGAAGTGAAAGAAGGCACAGAGCCCAGGGGGAGAATGGGCAGGAGAAGAGTGGCTGAGGGCCAAGGCTCTTGCAGGCCACAGTAAGCATTGAACATTTTTAACTCAATGAACTGGGAAGCCAGTGAGTGATCCAAAGCACAAAGAGTCATATGAAAATGGCTCTTCAGAGACATAGGGCATCAAAATGTGGTTATTGGCTTCTTAGAGACAACAAATATTCTAACTTTCAATGTGTTGAGTTGAAATTCTACTTTAGGGACACCTGGGGGGCTCAGTGGTTGAGCGTCTGCCTTGGGCTCAGGTGGTAATCTTGGGGTCCTGGGATCGAGTCCCACATCGGGGTCTCATGAGGAACCTGTTTCTCCCTCTGCCTGTGTCTCTGCCTCTCCTTCTATGTCTCTCATGAATAAATAAATAAAATCCTTTTAAAAATAAATAAAATCTTAAAAAAAGAAAAAGCAAAAAGGAACTGTGTATTGCATTGGTTGTATTGATTAGACCTTCTACACCAAACTGGTAAGAATGATTGCAGTGGAGGAATGGACTTTCTCCTGTATATATATTTCTGTAATTAATTTTATTTTTACAACAAGCATGTATAACTCTTAAAATTAATGAAGAAGAAAGAATATTCTAAATCCTGGAAAATAATTACGTAAGTACCCATTAAAATTTTTGAAACTCCTACCCTTTTCCTGTTAACCAGCATTTCTATTGTGGGATTCTACAATGAAACAGAGGTCAGCAAACTCTCTTTGTAAAGAGCCAGACACTAAATAATTTAGGCTTTGTGGGCCATCTAGTCTTTGTGTCAATGAGTTGGCTCTGCCAGGGTACTGAACAGCAGCTATGGATATTATGTAAATGAATGCATTTGGCAATGTTCCAATGAAACTTGATTTCTAAAAATATGTGCTGGGTTGGATTTGGTCTGTGGAACTTGGTTTGTCAACCCCTGCTATAGATAAAAGAATATAGGGACGCCTGGGTGGCTCAGCGGTTGAGTGTCTGCCTTTGGCTCAGGGCGTGACCCCGGGGTCCTGGGATCGAGTCCCACATCGGGCTTCGCACTGGGAGCCTACTTCTCCCTCTGCCTATGTCTCCACCTCTCTCTCTCTGCCTCTCATGAAAAAATAAAATATTTAAAAAATAAAACAAAACACGGCAGCCCAGGTGGCTCAGCGGTTTAGCTAGCACCACCTTCGACTCAGGGCCTGATCCTGGAGACCCAGGATCGAGTCCCACATCGGGCTCCCTGCATGGAGCCTGCTTCTCCCTCTGCTTGTGTCTCAGCCTCTCTCTCTCCCTCTCTCTCTGTGTCTCTCATGAATAAATAAATAAATAAAATCCTTAAAAAAAAAAAACAAAAGAATATATACAGATATGTGTACTGAAATGTTTATTGCATAATGTTTGAAGCAAAAAGAAAAAGAAGGCAAAATACTTGATATAATATATAAATATCCATCATTAGTTCATTAGTGGAATGGCTGATAAGTTACAGTCTGTTTATACTATGGAATTTTATGCAAATATTAAAAGAACCAATTAGACCCATGCCTACTGACCTGGATGAATGTCCATAAGGGTTAGGCAATCAAAGGTATTTGCAGAATAACAGGAATAATATGTATGGTAGCTTTTCACAGACCTGTGAATGCCAAGTAACTTTGCATAACTCCCACTGTGGATGGAATGCATCTCCCAGCCCCCCTGCAGCGTGGCCATGTCACTCACTTTGGCCAATGGAGTGTTAGGAAATGTCCCATGAACAGAGCCTCTCATGTGGTTGTACAGTGTGACTTGGCCTCTGGAACTCCTGTGGGGGCCTTGAGAAGACCACGTCTCAAGGAGCCACTGGTCCAAAGAGGATGAGGAACATGTGGAGCAGATTCAGCCTAGTGCCCCAGCAGCCTGGAGCAGAATTGGCCTGCTGAGCCCAACTGCAGACCTGTGAACCTAAAAATAAATGCTCTTTTTTTTTTTTTAAGATTTATCTCATTATAGAAGAGGGAGGGCAGAGGGAAAGAGAGAGTCTCTAGCAGACTTCCAAATGAGCACAGAGACCGATGAAAAGCTCGATCTCATGATCCCGAGATCATGACCTGAGCCAAAATCAAATTGGATGCTTAACCGACTGAGCTACCAGGCACCCCCTTAAGACTTTATTTTTAAGTGATCTCTATACCCAAGGTGGAGCTGGAGCTCACAACCCCAAGATCAAGAGTCGTACACTCCACCAACTGAGCCCGCCAGGTGTCCCTAAACACTTATTATTGTAAGACGTTGAGGTCATTTCTTAATCAGGCTGTAAATGTGAAGTAACCTAGTGAGATGGACGGACACCTGCTATTTTTGCCACTCCAACATCTACTCATTCTTATCCTCGTAACAACTCCCTGATTTTCCTGTAAGGAAGCCCAGCTTTCCCGTTCTCATCCATCTGGAAGGCATGGGGTGGCTCCACTGCCTGGGCTCAGGGGAGGCATGAGAGCCAGCAAGAGTGCTTAAGCTGGCTCTGAGAGGCTCATGAGAGCTGGTGACACGACTGGAGTGTGGTAAGCCAGTTGACATTAGTGGCTGCTGGACATTTATTGGCACACCACTGCGTGTGACTCAGATCTGGTTCTTCAGAGAACCGTGGCTCCTGGACGTAGAGGCGGGCCGGGCTCGTCACTTGAGTCAGGCCATGGAGAGTCAGCTCGGGTATGAGAAAAGCATCATTCCATTCCCCTGAGGTTCCTGCAAATGTAGGATGATGCCTGGATCTGCCAGGAGCCACTGTGGGGAATGAAGCCAACACTGCGTCAGAAGAACCAAAGGCTTGAGAAGCCGGGTCCTGTTGGCATTATCTGAGGTCCCATCTCAGCACTGCCTGAAACTAGACTTTACCCTGTATTCCCAGTTCTACAAGCCAATATATATTCTCTTTGTGGCTGATGCTCCTGGAACCCCCTCCCAAACCTCCTTGACCCACCTCCGAGGCCGGCTACCACCATTGCGGATGGTGCTGGAATGCTCTCACCTAGCAGGGTCCCCCAGCACAGCCTTCAGGGCAGCCCAGAAAAAGTGCCAGGGATCTGATGCCACCAGGTGTCATCCTCAACTGATGGGATATAAGGGTCAGTGGATAAATACCCAAGCTCCTCAGTGGCCTGGATGGACAGTTCTGAGGATGTGTGTGTGTGTGTGTGTGTGTGTGTGTGTGTGGTTTTGTTATTGTGGTTTGTTTCCCTCTATGTGCAGCAAAAAAAGGAATGCAGAAAATACATTCATCATGCCCTACCTTCTGCAGTTTAGGGCTTTTTAGACTAGATGACGCACTCTCCCCCAGATGCACACCAGGTTTTAAGGCTCAGATGTTAGTGAAACTAAGCTTTGGAGTCCCATGAAACCCTGGTGCATCGTGCAAAAAATGTCCAACCTGGGTAGGATGCTCTGTCCGTGTGGATTTGTCCAGGAACAAATTTAGGCTGGAAATAGCAAACTAAAGTTAGCAGAGACATTCCTGCCTCGAGGCCTCCTTCAGGAACATCCTGTCCAGAGGAAAGGATATTTAAGGAGAAAGGAAGCAGCAGGAGTTCAACTCAGCCAAGTGACAGAGGAAGGACATCTCGAACACAAAGCGTGGTTCTGGTCTGTGTTCCAACGAGGGGACGGGTGGGACAAACAGCCATGAAATACCCATGACACGCCTGTAATTTGCTTGTCCTCCTCCTCTTCAACTGGCTCCTTATGTTTTTAATTTCCCTTTTGCTTATTTTTCTCTCCTTTTTTTTCCCCCCACTTCAACGTAGGTTTTATCACCTCTCTTTCCTGAAATTAAGCCTCAGAGGCTTGAGCCACTTGGCCAAGACTGAGCAGTGGCTGAGCTGGGATTTGAACATGAGCCCCCTTTACTCTGGGTCGACAGGCACAGAGAGGGTGATCAATAGATACGGTGTGTAAATAAATGAAGCAGGCTCCAACTTACAGAAAGGGAATCTAGATCTATGAGGATTGGCGATCGCATCTACAGCAAAAAGCAACAAGAAGACCGCAGTATTTCATAGAGCAACCTGGAAAATCAGGTACGGTGTTCCTACCCATTTGACAGATGAGGAAATGGAGATTCAGAAAAGTTAACTCCCCTGCTAGACCATAGACATGGTAATATTTTATCTTGCTCGTGACTCCACACATTGAGTAGGGATCAAGCAGACCAGACATTAACGGCTTGGTCTGCTTGATCACACTTGCTCGAGCTAAGCCATACAGTAAGTAGTGGAGATTTATTATTTTTTTTTTTTTGCCTTAGTAGTGATTTAATATGAACTCGGTTCTGATTCCAAAGACTGGCTCCAGGGTATCAATCACTAAGCAATAACAAAATTCTTGTGGAGATAATCTAGGTAAACTGATCATATCTTAGAAGCAGTTAGAGCATTTTGCCACAATGATTCGAGGTTTGGATTAGTCAGGAGCCTCATTTGTTATTAACGTAAGCCCAACCCAAACAAGCTTAAATCAGAAGTTGGGGAGATACCAGGTGTAGTTGAAGCCAGGGGCTCA